CTTTCACTATGCACTAAACTGAAATTCAATGGATCAAAGATCTAAATATTAAAACAGAAACACTAAATCTGCTGGAAGATAGAACAGGTAGATCTCTCAAAGACATTGGTGTAGGCAAAGACTTTATGAATAAAACCCTGCCTGCACAGGAAATATCACAAAAAATCAACAACTGGGATCTCATCTTATTAAAAAGCTTTTGCATAGCAAAAGAAACCACCAACAGAGTGAAGAGACAACCTGCAGTGTGGGAAAAAATTTTTGCCAGCTGTTCCTTAGACAAAGGATTAATATCTAGACTATATAAAAGAACTAAAAAACAAAAACAAAACAGCCCCCACAAACTTAAGGACCCAATCCAAAAATTAGCATCTGAAATGAGTAGATAAATGAGTAGATAGATTTTCAGATGAAGTAGAAACAGTAAATAAATAAATGAAAAAATGTTGAACATCACTGGTCATTTGAGAGACACAAATTAAAACACTGAGATTTCATCTCACTCCAGAAAGAATAGCTATTATCAAGAAATCAACCAATAACAAATGCTGGCGGCACTGTAGGGAAAAAGGAATACTTCTCCACTGTTGGTCCAACCACTGTGGAAATCAGTGTGAAGATTCCTCAAAAAAATAAAACTAGTGGTTCCATTTGACCCAGCTATTCCTCCTCCTGATATCTTCCTGAAAAAATTAAATGCATACTACCACACCAATATATGCACACCCATGTTTATAACAGCAGTTTGTAATAACTAAATCTTGGAGATAGCTCAAATGCCCATCAATTGATGAATGGATAAAGAACACGTGGTATTTTTATACAATGGAGTATACTCTGCCATAAAGATAAGCTTGGGGCACTTCTAGCTAAATGGATGCATCTTAAGAACATAACCTTTTATAAAAAAAGTTTGTTCTGGTACTAGGGATTGAACTCAGGACCTTGCACTTGTGAGGCAGGCATGGCACCACTGAGCTAAATCCTTGGTCTGAGAACATATTCTTAAGTGAAATAAATTGGGCTCACATGTTTAAATACTGCAGTGTTTCTCTTGTATGAGAAGATGAAAATGTAAATAAGGACCAAAATGTATAATACTTCTTGGGAAACGTAAAGAAAATGTTCAAATGAGAAGGAGAACAAAAGAGGAGGGAGGGGGAAAGGTAAGAAAGGAGAAGAAAAAAAATGGAATCAGGGATTTTGTAAATAAGGCAAAGAAGAGGGGTTGAAGGGAGGAAATGGGAATGGGAAAAAAAATCAGCAGCAATATATATCATGTACAGGTACAGGTACAAATTCCCTATGAAGAATGTTATCAACATATATATATATATATATATATATATATATATATCTCAAATGTACCTATAAAATAAAGAAATAAATTTGCTTGATGATTTTTGGGACTAGCTAGATATATGAACTCAAGTTACCTTTCTATAGTTAAAGGTACCATTTTTTCTTTGCATTGTAGTTCCAAATTCTCATATGACTTTGCTTTTCTCCTGTCTGCTATGTGGCAAGGTTTAAGAAGGTTAATTTTCTTTTTGTAGACTCTGGGAGAAGGGTGTGTACATTACTAAGGGGCAAGTTTATTTCTAGTATATCCTTACCACTGAATAAATAATAATTAGAACTGCAGCTTGGTGTGTGTGTGTGTGTGTGTGTGTGTGTGTGTGTGTGTGTGTGTGATGCAGGTCATAGGTTTCTTACAAGGTCATGAAAACCAAAATTAAAGCTCATTTTAACTAGGTTTAGCAAATGTCCTCGGGGTAAAAGTTGGCTGTGGGCTCTGCTGAACTCTATGTTCCTGCCTTCACTTTTTTTCTTTTAGTACATGTTTGCAATACATAATGGTTACATTTCTTTTGTGGAATTGGTGCATGTACATAATACATCTCAATTCTTCTTTTCATCCCCTTATTTCCCCGTCCATCTCTTGATTCCCTTCCCATCTGAAAAATATCTATCTTCCTCCTTCCTATTATCTATCTTCTGTTTTGCTCTTTATTTATAATTTGGTTTTCTCCGAGAAAAAAGAGAAACCATGCTATAGTTAAGCTTGGGTGTCTAATTTATTTCACAACATTATCTCCTGGTATATCCATTTTCCTACAAATGACTTAAGTTTTTCTTTACAGCACAGTTGTACTCCATTTTGTATCAACTCCATGTTTTCTTTATCCATTCATCTGTTGATGAACATATAGGTCACTGGGCCAGGGATTTAGCTCAGTGGATTTGCCACCTATCTCGAAAGCGCAAGGACCAGAGTTCGATCCCCGGTACCAAAAAAAAAAATAATAATAACATATAGGCCACTTCCCAAAATTTAGCTATTATAAATTATGTTCCTATAAACATGGATATGCCTGTATTATTATAATATGATGTCTTTAACTCTTTTGGGAAGATACCTAGAAGTGGAGGGTATAGCTGGGTCAGATCATTTGGCTTTTTAACTTAACAATTTCTTATCAGTTAATCAATATATATAAGATTTTTCTAAAAGTATTTTTTCTAGGATTTTTGTTTTCATTGTGATGAATGTTCCTCCCTCATGCATGATAATGCCACAACAGAAGCATATATTCTTCTTTATATTTTACATCCACATTTTCCATTAAGGGTATTTCTTTATGACAAATAGCACTAAACAGAAATACTTAAAATCAATAAGAAAATATTTTGCATTCAAATAAGACTACTTCTTACTTTTATGTAGATGTTTAGCAAGTATCTGGTTAACTAGTTTATAGATGTCTACTATTTTATTTTATTAAAAATATTTAAATGTTTTAATAGTACTTAACCTTTGAACCACTAATTTGTTGGCTTAAATTTAATTTTTGAGACTATTATACAAAAAGCAATCTCAAAACTTTCTGTGATTTATAACAAATATTTTATTTTTATTTGGTTTTTGTTTTGTATCATAGTAATAGATTAGCTGCTCCAGTGCTGCCCTCAGTTTTAGATCCTTTCCGTGTATTTCCTTAAGTTGAGATTTTATCTAGAACATATATTTCTCATGGCAGGCAGCACAAGACTAAGAGACTGACGTGAATATTGCATTCTGTTTTTACTGTGATTTAGCATGTGTCACATCTACTCAAACCACTGGCCAAAGCATTTTATATGAACAATAACAGTACACTTTACCACAGCCTTCAAAGTTGTGTTGAATATTTATGTTTGAGGTTTCTTCAGTCTCAACTTTCACCCAGGAAATGAGGGTTTCCTTGAATCCTGACTAGCAATCTTTGATAAAATGTGTATCTAACTGGACAAAACCGAACAACTGTAAGACATATCTTCCTCATTCTAGGTCAAGGTGAAATGCTCTGTTAGTCTCAAAAACAGAATTATTCTTTGAAGAATTTCTTTTTTAAATTTAAGATTAATATTATTATATTGAAAATGCTAGATTGAATACTAATTATGCATTATCATAGAATATTAGATTTGAAAGAATCTGATAACCAGAGATTTTTCAACTGTAGTGTATTGATATATTACCAGGTTGTAATTGGTTGTGACATGTCAAAATCATTAGTTATTTGTGACAAGTACTACTAGTGTTAAAGTATAGAAGACTGTGAAAGATTTACCAACATTTGCTTTCCAATAATACCAATAATATCTTTTCTTTCATTTACTTGTATTATGATTTTTTTAAAGTGAAACTGAAAGGAGTTGCAGTAAGTCTGTCAAGAATCTGCATAATCCTTATACCATGACATCATCTTTGATATACTATAGCTGCATAATCCTTGGTGTACCTTGTTATACATCATTTGTTTCCAATGTGACTATTTTTTTTTTTTTTTTTTTGGTACGGGGGATTGAACTTGGGACCTTGTGCTTGGGAGGCTAAATCCACTGAGCTAAATCCCTGGCCTCCAACTCAGAATTTGAAGTGTAGACAGTAATCTATCTAGTCACATGTCCAATTCGCTACGGCTATTATATATGCCTCCTTATTTCTAGCACAGTGTTTTTTCATGCAAAATAAATGACCAAGTTTTCAAAAGCTATTATAAGAAATTGGGGCCAAGGCAGATGACATTAGGCAGTTCGTCTCCTTTTTCTAATCTATAGTTTCAGTTCTCAGAGTTTAAAAAAACACCAGGGAAACTGTGTTTCAAACAGTATATTTTGCATATTATCTATGCTCTTTTTTTTTTTTTTTTGGTACCGGGGATCGAACTCCGGTCCTTGCGCAGCAGGCAGCGGAACCACTGAGCTAAATCCCCGGCCCCTTATCTATGCTCTTTCTAAGCATGTTCTTTTTCAAATCTATTGATTGCAATTCATTGCATGAAATAACTTAGGGCACACTCACCCTTGTATCTGATATAAAATTTCACAAAGAAATTCTTGCCCATATTAGATATTATCCTTTCTGGTATCTTAAATTCAGAATAGAACCTGGTAGAATCTTTTCATCATTGGAACACCGGTTCATCACAATATCTCAAATATTCTAAGACTCGTTGTGTCTCACATTCTTTTTTTTTTTTTTTTAGGTACCGGGGATTGAACTCAGGTCCTTGAGCTTGGGCAGCAGGCAGCGAAACCACTGAGCTAAATCCCCGGCCCCATGTTTCACATTCTAACATCTTTGAATTCAAGATGCCTTAAAGATCAGAGGCATAATACAGTTTATTTGGCAGCATCTATTTTTTCTTGGATAACAAAATAATGGTGAGTTTAAATTCTATACTTTTTAGAGCTGCTATGAAATAAACTAATATTAAGGACTACATGGGCCAAACCGTGTTTTTTTCATTTGAAAGTACCCAGCTGTTCACAATGCCATCTGACTCTTATAAAGAAAATGTTATGAGAATTGCTTAAGAAAGTCCTTTGTTCTGGGAGAGACGGAGAAATGAGTACAAATAAAGAGTTTAATAAGAAAACTTCTCTCACTTGCCTTCACTGTTCACAGGGTTTGAGTTGGATCCTTCTGTTCTTCTACTTCTGTATTCTGTTTCTTTTGCTGACTAGCTATTCTGCTTTTCTTTTCACCAACAAGGTGAGCAGAGGGAGAGGGTTCCTGGGGTCATGGTTGAAAAGGAAGGCAAAACGTATGCTCAAGAGTTGCGGAGCTTGAAGGAAAAAAAAAAATTAAGAAATAAGTTTTATTTTAAAAGCGGGATTGCCAGATCCTTGTGTATTTGTTTAAACTAGCACAGTAAAAATAACTAAAACTGGAGAGAAGAATTCTGAACATGACTAAGAACAATAATTAGCTCATTGGAGTAGTTTCATCCCAGAGTGACTGAAATACACCACCGTCTCCTCAAAAATGAAAACCTCTGAGGAAAATCAGTAAATTAAATGCCACAATTTACGCGCTACTAGAAGCAGGAACAATTGGTTCCTGATACTTTTCAAGCCTGCCATACATCACAAAGGCTTTTTTTTCTTTTTTTTGGCCTCTGTGCGACTAAAACTTCAACCAACCCGAGGTCTGGGAGGCGGGTGGCGCGCTCGGGCCTCTAAGGTGGGTAGCTCCACGGGCTGGACTGGGCCCGGTATTGACCGCCCAGACCGCCTCGCTTGAACTGGTCAGCAGGCACGGAGCCCGAGGCGCCGGGTTCGCACCTAAGCCAGCCTCAGCCAGGGAGAGTTGACCACCCTAGGGCACGGCGAGCAGGGACAGTCTCTCTGGCCCGGTCCGCTCTCGCCCAGAAAGGGAAGCGCCTCGGAGCCTGCCCCAGAGCACCATCACGTGATGGGAAGGGGGCGGAGCCAGCGCGCCGGGGGCGGGGCCTGGAGGGCGGCACTGGAATGTGAGGGATCGTGGAGGCTGAAGGTGTCCAAAGAGGCGGCGACGCGGCGGATGACAACATTAGGCCGCGACGCGCTCCCGGCAGGGCGGCGCTGGCAGCGGCAGCCCGAGCGGCTCTAGCCTTAGCCTTGGCTGCGGCAGTAGCCGCCTCCAGTAGCTGGCAGACGGGAGGAAGGAGGCGGCCCGCTTTGGCCCGAGGATCGCGGGGCCGGAGTTCCCGCCGCGCTCGCCCGCTGAGCCCCGGCGGCAGCTACACGGCGCTCTCGCGCTCCAGCTGCCCGGAGAGAAGTTGGGGTCCGACTTGACTCGTGTAGGGCCCGGGACCCCGGCGTCCCCGGGATACCCCAAGAACTGGCTCCCTGTGTGCCACCTCTGCAGGGGCTACACACCAGTGAGTGTCGCGCGGGTTCCCGAGTTGGGGGGCGGCAGGTTTCCTACCCTTGGCGACTGCGCTCCCTGTTCCCACGTTCTGAGCTCTGGCTATGGGGACTCTTGGGCACCCAGCGCCGAGGAGTTTCTCTTAGCTCCTTTGTCCCTTTTGGAGCGGGGGATTGGAAAGGCTGGCGGGGGTGGGGTGTTTTGGGGCCCACAGTAGGTGCGTCTGCAGCCTGACAAAGCCGCAAGAGGAGAACTGGGCGTGGGGGGCAGTTGGAGCATGTTCATCGCCTCAAGTGTCTCCCCTCGTGAAGTTTGACAGGGCGGGTGGCTGGGTCTCTCCAGAAGCCCCTGCGCCCCGAAGAGCTGGCATTGTGTCGCTGGGCGAGGCTTCGGTTTTCCTGTGACAGCCCCAGAGGAGGCTTTGCCGCGCACCGCAGACCGCACCCGCCCTTGCAGAGCAGAGTGACAGGGTGTTGTGCTCTAAACTTCAGTTCCCCTGGCCGCCTTGTAACATAGGAGGAAAGGCGAAGCCTTTGCTGTACTTTTAAATTTAATATTTGCCCCCAAGCTCTCGAGGGGAATCAGATTCCAAGGAGCTTTCGCATGGAGCGTGCTTTTGGTTCATTGAGCCACCCACTCGAGCCGGCTGAGGCAAAGCAACAGTATAGGCAGACTTTTTTTCATTCACAAAACTCATTTAACACTCATTCTTTATGAGAGACATCTGCGTTGCGAAACGCAGATAAAATTTCGTTTTATCTAGATACTGCCTGAAGTAAGTACTTGGGCTGTTCCTTAAACAGATGGGAAAACTTCTCTAACTGATGATATAGCATATTTGCTTTAAATAATTTAATGTTGTTTTTGCTTTTCTGCTGCGGGAAGACTTAAATGACGCCGAAGTAATGTTAGAGTAACTTGTGTGTGGTAGTTTTTCTTTTTTTAATTCTCCTGAAACAGTCCCAAATTAATGCCGCTTTAGGTCTTTTCAGATAATTATTCAAAACTTTTTGCCGCCTATGGGATTTCAGACTAAAAATTATGGAAGAAGAGGTGTATAGTTTGTTAGGTTTTCTCCATTCCATAAAATTTCACCTAAACTTGATTATGCTGAGAGACTGATCAGTTTCTATTTTTGCTGGAACCTGTTTTGCAGTGAGATTATTAAAATACTACTAGTTTCATAAAACAGGTTAGAGAAGGAAGAGGAAGCCTATGCAATTTAAAATGTCCTCTATTAAAAGTACAACTATCGAGTACTGTGTATGTAATTTTTTTCTTTAGATAGCTATGTATGGAATAATTACAGTATGCCTTTTCAGAGTGCTTGTAAAGAGAATAGAGGAAACATAAGAGCTACCTTTTTAGGTCTTTAATTATGGAGATTAAGTTGTTGTGGTCAAATTCCATGTGAACAGTTTGAGCCACAAACTGAGTGCTCAGAAATGCTTGTTCAGTTAAACATGAGTACTTAGAAATGCTTGTTTAATTAAACATCATAGCGGTTTATTTGTTTCATTGACTCATAATGGTTATTGAACCTCTGATCTGTGGGAAAATGCTGATCTATTTTTTTTCCACTTAGAATGTTATTGCATTTTAGAAGCAATCAAATATGTTTCTTACAACACATTTGTGGCAGTTAGACATTTGCCAAAATGATGTTTACTTTCCATGCAATGAGACTGTTTTACTTTGTTTTAAGAAAAATGATAAAATTATGAATTTGTAAAGGATGAATTACAGAAGGATCTTTCTTTTTAATTTCAAGATTGATTAACTGATTTTTGGTACTGGGGAATAAACCTAGGGTGCACTAAACTACATTCTCAGCCCTTTTTATTTTTTAAGGTTTTTTTTTTTTGAAACGGGGTCTTACTAAGTGTTTCAGGTTGGGCTTGAACTTGAGATCTTCCTGCTTAAGCCTCTAAGGGTGCTGTGATTACAGCATGTGCCACTGCACCCTAAGGAGTTGCAGGATTTTATTTGTAAACATTTATGCTCTTGAACTGAAAGAGGCTTGCATCAGTACACATTGTACAGCCTTGCAAATTACACAGAAATTGAAATTTCCTTGTTTGTAAGTGCAATGAATCTCTGATGTCCAGTAATATGCAAACAATGGAAACAAATTTTAAACCACTTAAGTCTCCAGCACTCATGAAATATATTTCCATAGGTGAAAAGAAATCCACAAGGATGGGAATTCAAATAAGTGGCAATTAGTTATTGGAGGGACACTTAAAAAGAAAAAAAAAGTGAGAGTATTTTCCTGACTTAGATGATTCCCATTCCCCTTTGAATTTATGTAGTTTAATTACGAGCATTAAGAACATAATTTACTTTGCACTTAACATCCATACTACCTAAATGAATAAGAAAAGGACCCTATGGAGGAGTTCTGCATTTTCTGGAAAATGTTTTTGTGTTTAGAGATTCATGGGAAGAGTCATCTTTTATTTGTGGGCTTTTAGAACCTCAGCCCTCCAAAAGAATGGTATATGGTTTTTGACTTGATTATTCCATGCCTGCATTCTTTTCCCCCCAAATCCTAAATTGGGTCACACTGTAGTTGCAGGATTTTAACCACTGTGTGCTCTTAGTACATTACAACTTGATGTGGTTTATAAATAACCTGTCAAGAGCAGGTTACTTGAGTTGCAGAAGGAAAGACAAAGAATTGATACTTTGATATAGCTTATTTTGGAAAATTGTTACTTAATAGCAATATTTAAGCAGTATATTTGTGTTACATCCAAAATTGAAAACATTTATAACAATGATCTTGGAATATCCCGCAGTTCAACAATAGAAGAGATAGATTTTACCTTATTCGTATGATTAGCAAATGAGGCATTAGAACAACTTGAATTTTTTAAAAAGCCCCTAAAAAATATGCTTTTGATGAATGTGGCTGGGTACAAGATCAATAGAGGTGCTTGGTTGGTTGGTTGTGTTGGTTGTGATTGAATTATGTATAGTTATTTTGTGGATGTGACACAGGGATAGATGTGTGGACTAATGTTGTGTGCAAATTTCCTGTCAGTATGTGGAAACCTGCTGAGAGATTTTTAGATTGATCCTTCTATTTGCCTTGGTCCCCACCTTTCGTTGTACCTTCACATACGCATGAAGTTGTAAGTATCATCTGGAATACATGATAAAAGGGATTTTTTTTCCTCCTTAAAAAGTGTTGTCAAGCTTGCAAGGGTGAAATGTTTCTTTGGAGACCTTCTAGGGAAGAAACCCTTGTCCTGGAGCATCATGCTCTTGCATCCTTTGTTATTTTTACCTTTGTTAAAGTTCCAGACAGTGTAAGCTCTCTGTGATAGCAAGAACCTTATCTCTTTTGCTCAGCAATTCATCTCCAAATGCTCAGTAGTTTACTGGATGAAAAAAATGTAGTCCCACATGTATGACTAAAGAACAAAAGGAGTATGTGATTAATATAATGTATCTCAAACTAAATATAAGCAGTGAATTGATAAAGAAAGGATGCTAATTTGGGAAGAGGTCATTTAATCTGGGAAACTTTCTTGGAGGAGATGATTCTTGTGTTAGGTCTTGATGGGGGCTATGTAGCTGAAGATAACATGGTGTCTTCCAGGGTGGACAGCTGAACCAAAGCTCTTAAATTGAAGTGAATTATGTCAGATTAAACAAAGTGAATTTTTTTTTTTAAATTACATTATGAAAATTTTTTCTTCTATCACAGTGGTTGCCTCTCTCTGGATAAAAGAATTGACACATCTTATAAATGCTAAAATACAGAGTACAGTACTTAGTTTTCAGAAATGCTAATAGTACAATTAAAGCAAGAGCATTTAAAGTGTGGTTCGAAAATTTGGACATCTGACTGCATCTTATACAAATAATGTGTCCTTGGGCAAACTACTGCACCTTAATTCTCTCCTTTGTAAAGTGAGGATAATTAATGATTCTTACCATGGTTGTTAGGAGAATGAAATTATATAACATGGTGAAAATGTTTATCTCAATATCTATCTTGTAGAAAGACTTTAAGAAATATAAAATTATTTAAATTTTTTTGTCTCTAGATTTAAAAAAATTTTCATTCGTTTATCATGAATTCTAGTTGATAATTTATTTTTACAGTGCTGGGATTTATCATGAATTCTAGTATCTACTTAACCCATCTAGTTGGCCCATGGTAATACTTTTATCAGAATCAAAATTTCAAGATGCACAGTTTTCTTTCAATCAAGCTTAATGTTCCCTGATAGAAAAGAGATTTAATAGTTACTCTTTAATGTCACAGACCACAGAGAATGCTAGATGTCTCAGATTTTTAAATCTTTAACTAAGAGATATGTGTGGCCAAGAACCTGTCCTTCTATGTTTTTCTTTCCTAGAAAATTTGTTTTTGAAGAAATTGTCTTTGATTAATGTGCCATCTACCTGTTGACTATTGTGAAGAAACAAGTTTTCCAGTTATTGTATACGTTTGTCAGCTGGGCCTGGTGGTGCACATCTGTAATCCTGGGTAATAGGTTCAATTCTTAGTACCACCAACAAACCAACCAACCAAGCAGACAAAAACCTAC